TGTACACCTTCCTTCTTCTTTTTTTCCGTGTAAGGACCCCTCATGGACGTTTGTAATCATATGTATACCAATTGTGGGCTTTTGTAATTGAATGTTCATGAATGCAAAGAAATTTCTTTAATTTTGTCTTTGATGCTTGCTATACTCCCTCTCATTTACGTTCACGGAGATTCTGAATGCGTGATTGTGTCGGTTAGTGCCCATATCATACCCACAAGCGAGTGTTCTTTCTGAATTTTGGTTGATAAAAACGGCCTCTCGCGGAATCCTTTGTCGTTCCTCGGGCCAAACCCGGATTGATTCGATAATCTCGGGTCGTCGGGATCTCTACTTTGAGTCGGATAGAAATAGGGCTTCGAACCCCTAAACTGAGACTTAGCCTTTAGACCTTCGAGACCAGTCCCCGAGTGAGGATTGACTCGAGGCATTTGGAAACTTGTCTTGAACTTGATATATGTAACCTTAAGGCGTTTTAGATAGGTCCCTGATGAGGGACGGCCCAGTTTTAGATAATATTCGAGGTCGAAACCTTATGGATGGAACTTGAAGTGCTTATTCTTGTTAGATCCTAACTCATTATTGATGGAGGTCCTCGAGGTCGGGTACCACCTCGGGATCGATAATAACGACATGGGTCTTTTAGGGCCTAACTTCTTGCCGATGAAAGTCCTCGAGGCCGGGTACCACCTCCGGACTAGCGAAGGCGCTTTTGGATTCTTGGAGCCTAGTCTTGTTCTGATGGAGGTCCTCGAGGTCGGGTACCACCTCGGGACTAGTGAAGGCAGCATCGGTCAGTGTTCTTAACCGGCTTTGAGACAGGCGAATCGTCGCCGTTTTTTCCAAATATAAATAGGGTCGTTTCTACTTTTTTGGGGGTTCCACCATTTAAAGCAGTTGCCCTTCTTTTCCCACGTCGAACCTTTCTTTATTTTAGTACTAACTTACTACATAGATTCCCACTTTAGTTAATTTTGTTGTAGCCATGGATGCTATGTCGGGGTCTATCCGATAGGTAGGGGAGAACTCCGCCTCCGGTACTCAGGACCAGTGAGAATACACCTTGAGAACTACTTATTTGATAGGAGAAGAGCATCTTGAGTCAGTGAGAAAGGACTGCGCATGGGGGGAGAAAGTGGTGTTATAGTTATTTTCCTCGGGTGAGGGCATCACGAATTATAACGACGGATTCTTGAGTGTGTACACGTATCCTTTCACACTGGGCCCCCTTGATACGGTCACGCTCGACTTCTGCTTGGAGTATCGGGTTACCTTGGCGCAGGTCCACCCGTTGTTTTGGCGAACAATATTGATGGTGAGATTTTTTATAGGGAAGGCGGGGCTTGAATTTACACTCAGCCATCTTATTAGGCTGTACCGGCCCTTTCACCATCGAGGTCTGCTAACCTTGCGATGTGATCGACCACGCCCTTCGTCGTTGACGACGAGGAAAATGGAGACCGGGGGTGGATGAATCGCTTTGTCCGACCGTGGACCAATGACATTATCCTTGCGGAGCTTATGCCATTCGCTGAGGAATGGAATTATACACAGTGGTGTATTTCGTGCCTTCTCAGTTTTGCCAATGGCGAGAACGGTTTCGTAACCGTGCCCTCCTTTCTTTTTCTGCAGCGGTTCCTGGGCGCCCGGTGGCATTCCTGACCTGCCGGATCGGGTCCGAAAGTTGGCGACCCACTCGACCTGTGATGAGCGCAAGTGGCAAGCTTTGTCCCGGAGCAGATGGGAAGCAAAACATGATGGTGGTGTTGTGTTATACTTTCCTTTCCCTTCTTTCGTGTTGGGAGGCATTTCCCCTTTACGCGTATTAATCATGTTGTTATAGCATTGAAGACCCTTTTGAGGCTAGGTCGTGCTCCTCAGGAGAGGGGGAGGGTTGACAACTCACGTGCTAAAGAGTGACAACAATAAGAGAGAGATGCTTTTTCAGGGCGATGGCGCTCAAAGAAAAAGGAAAAACGGGATCGCGATATCGGAGCAGAAGCATTGTCCGAGCCGGCCTTGTCCGCGTTCTTGGTTCTGGAAAGAGGGTTCCTCCGTTGATGTCACCTTCCTTTTCTATCGGTGGTACTTTGGGAGATACTAGAAACCCGAAATCGCATACGCTGAGCGACCGGAGTCGGCTCTTTCAGGGCTGAAGGTACTGGATTGGCAGGTGTGCGCTCGGCCTTCGAGGAAGCCCGGCGGCTTCACTTTGTGGTGAGTTTCGGAGCAGGTTTTTCGAACTACGCACCTTCCTTTCCTTATCGGGTTATCTTTTTGCAGACATTCAATAAGCGTAAGTCATGGCTGCTTCATTGCGATGCCAGGCTACAGTCAGCTCTGGATGAGGAGAGATCCCTTAGGCTCCTTTGTGATGAAAAGGAAGTCGAGTTGGTACACTTGCAGTATGAGGTGGGCCGAAGCTTGAATTACGAGATCCATCTACAGGAGCAAGTAATTTTCTGTCCTGGGTGAGCGTGCATTTCCACCTCCTGGTTCCTGAGGCTAATGCATAGTTTATTTCAGGTGCAGAACAAGACGGAGGCCCTAGAGCGCTTTCGAAATGAATTTGGCTGGGCCAAGCGTGAACATGACGAGCTAAAAGCTCGGGTGGAGGCTCAGGCTTCAGAGGAGAAGGACGCTCTGGCTAAAGTTCCTGCTTTTGAAGCTCAACTTCGCTTAGCTCGTGATAACGCTTCGGTTTAGGAAGAAATGTTTGCGAAGCTCGAGTTCGAGCTTCACTACAAGAAATTTGATTTTTAACGACCACTTCTTAACGAAGGGACATACATCTGGTCGTTATAAGTATACTTATAGCGACATATTTTTTTTCCCGTCGTTGTAAATAATTATTATCTCAATTTTAATGAGGGAATAGTATTCAACCCTTAAAATATAACATATCCCGTCGTTAAACAATTAATTAATAAAAATTGGCGCTAATTTTCCCTCTCCCCAAACCCACACCCGGATCGACAATCACCCCCCAAAAAAGAAGGAAAAACCCTAAGACTTATTTTGGTCAACTTGCTATTTCTCCCCATTGATAACAACTGCTCAACTTCCAGTTTCTTCTCATCAGGTAAGATTCGAAATTGTACCCTTTTTATGTTAATTTTAGTTTAGAAGAAACCTCATTTCCAAACCATGGCGGTTCAAATTCAATTTTTAAGTTTCGAACAGAAAACGTGAGTGAAAAGCTAGGGTTTTAAGGGCAAAATTCTTCTCTGCTCTTGAGTTTTCTTCTTTGATTTTCTGTTCCATTTTCTGTTCGCGTTTCGAATTTCAGAAAAAAAAATACAAAAAGAGATATACAATGAGTTTTCTTCTCTGATTTTTCGCTATTACTCCTCTAATGTTGGGGTTAAGTTTCTTTCATATACATAGATATAAAACTAATATATATATATAATATATATATATATATATATATATATATATATATATATATATATATATACACACACACATTGGTTTCTGCACTGTTGATCTTCATTCATGGATCTTGCTTGAGTTTGGTTGGTGTTTCACGGGTTTGGATGTGAATGTTCAAGGACGACGTTCATGGTTCCGAGTTTAATTAGTCGGTTTTTTTCCTTAGTTGAATTTTGGAGTCAAAATCTGTGTAATTGCTGATTTTTCAATAGCTATTAAGGAAAGTTTTGGCTTAACAGGTCTATTTTTGTCGCTCCCTTTCTATTTTATCTAATTAATTGTGAATCGAGCTTCAAAATGAGTCATTTAAGGATAAGTCGAGTTTGGGGTATAAATTGTTTGGTTAGATAAATGATTTCTTTACGAATTCATTCATATAAAATTAAGTAAAACTTTCTTACTGATTCTCTGGATTTGTTTTAGAGTTGCCCTTTAAGAGAATATCTTGATAATGAATTAGTTGGAAAGTCTTTGTTCACTAAAACAATATGTTGTTGGATTTCTATTTTGATTAGATCCATATTGCGTGTTTCTGGTTTGGTACTGAAATATCATTTTGTTAGCTAGTTCAAGGAGGTGAATTTTCATGGATTAGCTGCCGGTTCTAATTCTTGACAGTTCAATGATAGTTGATGTTGCTATGTAGCTATGAAAATTAATATAATATATTTTTAGTAGGTGCTAGTTTAAATATGTATTCTCTGTTTGCTAAATCCAAATGCTAGTGTAGTAACCTGTGAGCAACTTAACTGGGTTGAGTATTTCCTTATCTTCCCTGCTAGATTTCTTCCACCTCTATATTTGGAGTTGTGCAATCTTTGTGAGCTTATTATGCTTTAGTCTCTTCATTCACTGTACCCATGTGTTTCATGTCATTTAAATGTCTTGATGCCCCTGTAAAAACTATTCCTGAATGTGTAGTATTCTACTAATGTTAATTGTGTAAGAGTGCTCATATAACTAAACCAATACCCTTTGGTTTGGAGTTAGTGTCAGTTACTACAGTGCAGGTGGAACGCAGGAGGTAGGAGTGTTCATGTTAGGCTCTTAGTTTCTTAGAGGAGAACTAAAGGAAGTACTGAATAGAGGTTGAGTATCATACCATTGGAATTCTTGACAAATATTGAAAGCAAAAGGATCAACACCAATAATGATTAACAGTTATTGAACTCCTGGATCTTGAGTAACTGACTGAAAAAACTCTTGGGCCTTGTATTTGAAACAGATACAATGTGTTGGGATTGACCGATCCTAAAAGTTAGTTATGGCACCGGGAGAACTCAAAATTTTAGTCTAATTCGTAACGCTCGATGACTTGATTTGGAGCTTTAGTCCTTCTTCTATTAATTTCTCAGAGTGCTACATTAGATCATGAATCAAATGACATAGTAGGATAACTACTCTATGCAACATTGGTGTTAAAAGGCAACTAATATTTTTTCTAGTTGTTTAAGTTTTTAGATGAGTTGGTATAATGTGATAAGTAACAGAGAGAAGTCGTCACTTCAGTAATTGTGAATACATTATAAACCTTGAATGTATTATAAACAACACACTTAAAAATGGCCACCTGATGTCATTTCCACTCCGGTAACCAAGTCGAGGAAGACATAGGGTGCACAGAATAATCGAACCTCACCTCTATACGAATGCCACGTAGTCATCTCGGTGCAAAACCTCGAGGCCCAGGGTTTAATTGAGATGCACACTTTCTCCAATAGTAAGTCGACACTCAGTGTTCTCAGTTGATGCTGCAGCCATGAAACTCCTTCCAACCCTCTCTGGTACTCTACTCAAAATCTCAATCTCCATTTTCTTCATATATTTTGTTGTTTAATAAAATGATACTCCTATAACTATTAACGAATTTTTTGTTTCTTCAAAATCGTTTTTCAGGACCCAGAAATCTACTGGTTCGAACTTTAGGGCGTCGATACTTCGCGGTCACACCGGAAGAATACGCCAAGAGAAACTACGCTAACAATGAGGCTGAATACAGCACTGTTATTATCTCTCTTACTGCTCAGCGAAGGTAGTTTTCTATATAATTACTCCAAATGATTAAGGCGTAATTAATTGATTTGAATTACGGTTCATTTTTACGTATGAATTCGAATTAGGCATTATTTGTTGAGGGATGTTTATGATGACATGATGCCGGATGGTGTAAAGCCAGAGAGAGATACATTACATTCACTTCTTATTGGGACAATGAAAGGTGCTCACTTGCAAGATGCTTTCTTTTTCCGCGACGAAATGAAAACCATGGGCTTGGTCCCTGATGTATGTCTCCTTCCTATGCTTGCTTTTCATATTTGTATAGTATTTACATATTTGTTGAATCACTGAATTATCAACAAGAGTTTATGCGAAATGAAGTGATAAAGAGGGAGAGAGAGAATTGGGGAGAATTTCTTAGCTTTCTCTATAAGCTCTCCAAAATGAACACATTACCAACTACAGTTAATTACAAAGCCTATTTATACAAGTAACTAACTACATATATCTAAATACTACCTCCATCTAACTACAACAATTGACTTACTACTTCAGTTGGCTACAGTTAAGCTGACTACACCTCAGTTAACGATAGTGAGGCTTAACTGATAACTCTACAACTACAGCAGCTAATATCCTTTACCGTTGATTTGTATGTAATTTATACCCAGCCTTGAAGTTTTTAGAACAACGAGGGTTGTTGTTCTTCTTCCAATTCACATGTTGCTTTGTACAATTTCATGATATCTACATGTGGAAAATGTAAAAATTCGGAACAAGCAGTAAGGGTATGTATCCTAACTCTGTCTTGCAGTGTTATTCTGCTTCACTTTGCCTGAAATTATAAGCAATGATATGATTCATTGAAATAATTACTGATGTTTTTCTTCTTTGTAAGTAGCTTTTGGAAGAAATGAAGAGATTTGAAGTCAAGCCTACTGGACAGACCTATATCTGTCTCCTCAATGCGTGTGCAGCTGCTGGTCAGGTAGATAGAGTGTAAGAAAGCTGCTCGCTGGTTGCAACTGTATCTATTGCTAGTACACAATTGGACGTGCGTATATTTGAAGGCATATGTTGATATCTGTTTAGTTAGTTGTATAATCAGATCCATCATGTAGTGGATAGTCTGGAATGCAGCAAATTATTAGTAGTTACACGGCATAACACCATGATACGATTAGAGTTCATTTGACTGAAAGAATCTGCTTATTCAGTGAAAACAATATTTGATTAATATGCTATAACAAGCTACTAGATGCAGAACCAAGAAGTTTCTTGCAGCGTCAAAACTTCTCTTCTCTCCTTGTTGATGTTTCAGAGTCAACTTTCATCCAATCTTTCCAAAACATGATGTTACATTGTTATTTTTTCTGTTGGATTCATAATCTTCATTTGCTCCGGCATCTGATTGGCTGCCCTTCCAACATTGCAGGTATGCAATTGTTAGCGACATGACTGCTGCTGGTCTTGGTCTTAATAAATTCTGCTATGCTGAACTTATAGCTGCTCACAAGAATAAGGAACCTGTCACTGATGATGTAGCTTCCAAGGTGAGTAACAACTGCATCCATGTGCTTTTACAAATTTTCCATTTTCTTGGTTTATCAGCTTATTTTGTTTTGTTATTTTTCGGAGAAGATTCTTGAGCTAGTTGAGCAGTCCAAGGTTGTAAGAGTGCTCATATAACTAAAGCAATACCCTTTGGTTTGAAGTTAGTGTCAGTTACTACACTGCAGGTGGAAGGCACGAGGTAGGAGTGTTCATGTTAGGCTCTTAGTTTCTTAGAGGAAAACTAAAGGAAGTACTGAATAGAGGTTGAGTATCATACCATTGGAATTCTTGACAAATATTGAAAGCAAAAGGATCAGCACTAATAATGATTAACAGTTCTTGGACTCCTGGATCTTGAGTAACTGACTGAAAAAACTCTTGGGCCTTGTATTTGAAATAGATACAATGTGCTGGGACTGACCGATCCTAAAGTTAGTTATGGTGCACCAGGAGAACTCAAAATTTTAGTCTAATTCGTAACGCTCGATGACTTGATTTGGAGCTTTAGTCGTTCTGCTGTTAATTTCTCAGAGTGCTACTTTAGATCATGAATCAAATGACATAGTAGGATAACTACTCTATGCAACAGTGGTGTTAAAAGGCAACTAATATTTTTTCTAATCGTTTAAGTTCTTAGATGAGTTGGTATAATGTGATAAGAAACAGAAAGACAATTCAGCAATAAACTCTGGTCGTGATATCACCTACAGATGCGACCACATTCCTCTTCCTTCTTTGCACAGTGCAGAGTAAACAGGAATTGCTCCACCAAAATTCAGCAACCTGGATCAACATTTGGGAAGATTAAGAAAATAAACTTACAATAAATTTAAGGTACATAAAGATAAGATTAAGTGTTGGAGGATGTAAAAGAAGCAGAGGATTTATTGTAAAAGCTGAAAAGATATCAAATTAAAGTTGTACTTTCACTTGATTAAAGCACCTTCCCTTCAAGGAAATAACCCGTGTTTCCTTTTATCAAAGCAAAGTCAGAAACTCTTCTAATGTATCAGTTTTCTTATCATTGTACATAGACAGTAATGCATCGTTTTTCTGCTACGATATTATCCACTGTTATGTCATCTAATCTTTGTATTATTTAAATTTCTTGTTTATGGCCGTCAATGTAGCCTTTAATAGAATTAGTAAATAGATAGCCTTCTGTTTGAGGTGGCCAATGCTAAGAATAGTCGGGGAAATTGATAAGAATTGAGGATAAAGATGAGCTGTTGGAGTTTGCCAATGCTAAGGCCGATGCATGAGCTAGTGTTCTTATATCATGTCTCTCTGCCCAGCTCTGACTACTTCAAACAGCTTAATCTTTTACCTTGGAAAATCATACAATTACCTCATGGGGAGTTAGCCGCACCCACAAATGATATAAATACTACTGTTGCTTTGGCTTTACTCACATCAAAGGCATATTTCTATGCGGGTCTTACAAAAAAGGGATTAGGTTATTTCGGAAAATATATTCAACCAACCCCAATCCTTTTACCCATTAACATCTTAGAAGATTTCACAAAACCTTTATCACTTAGTTTTTGACTTTTCGGGAATATCTTAGCTGATGAATTAGTAGTTGTTGTTCTTGTTTCTTTAGTACCTTTAGTAGTTCCTATACCTGTCATGCTCCTTGGATTATTTACAAGTGGTATTGAAGCTCTTATTCTTGCAACTTTAGCCGCGGCTTATATAGGTGAATCCATGGAGGGCCATCATTGAAATAGTCTTATTTTTCTTTTTTATGTATAAACTGTTCATTAAATCAAGAATCGATGAGCTAAGGTATGAACGATACTGAACGGGAAGTAGAAAACCTTCATGTGTTGTTACTTTTGCTGTATTGCTTTCTTCTTCTAAGATACGAATTTTATGAGGTTTGTATGTTCACAAGGTTGAATGTCGAGACACAGTCATTTAGTCTTTCCTAAAATTGGAACGAAAATGGTGAAACCATGCTATAGATTAGTTTTTACATTAATATTTTTCCAAAACATGTGGATATAAGGTGATTCTGTAGTGTGCTAGGTGGATAATATGTCACTGTTTGTCAACTATTTGGCATTTACTCAATGAGCTAGTTTCTCCCACGCACCATTTTTGTGTCATTCTGATTTGGGTTTCAATTGGGAGTTGCCTCTATTTAAGTGTGCATTTGTTATGAAAAATAATTTAATTTGTTATGTTAACAGTTAGATATGATATTTCTTTATTAAATTGGCTTACATCTGTTTTTTTTTTCCTTCAGTTTTTTATTTTTTGTTACTAAACTGGCGCACATTTGTTATGTTAACAGATCAAACATTTGATGTCCGAAGACCAATCCTTGATGAAAGTGTAGAGCAAGTTGAAGTACAAGAGGTTTATGTTTTGTTAGGGATGGTTTAAAGACACTGTACATATGCTGCAATGTTATGTTTCTCTTTTAGGAATTATTAAAAATGAGGTAATACGATTCAGATTGGTTTCTGTTAAATATGATACTTTAGTTCTTCGTATTAACAAAAATGTCAAGTATTTGATTTGTTTTCGAGTGTTGTTGGGTGTCTATGAAATAATATAAATATTTATTTTTATTTATCATATTTAAATTTTCGTAATTGAGATTTGGTTCTTAAAAGTAGTACAACTAGCGACGGGAATAACGGTCGCTAAAAGCACGTAATGACTAAATTAGTTGTTGTCATTAAAGACTTTTAACGACTGGTTAACAAATTAGCGAAGGGAAAAACTTGTCGTTAAAAGGGATATATAACGACCGGAAATTATGTGGTCGCTAAAGGATATTTAACGACTGGATTGTAATCCGGTCGTTAACTTTTAACGTCGGGGATTTTAACGACCGGTGACGGCCGGATTTTTTCTGGTCGTTAACATGTTATAATGACCGGATTTGGACTTTTAGCGACCAGATTTCCCCTCACTAAAAGCCTATTTTCTTGTAGTGCTTTCAAAAGTCAAGGATGAGATCATTGATGATTAGGGAGAAGCTGCAGTGAGCCGGACCAAAACTGATCAGGAAACGACGATCTATTCAAAGGATGTTGCCGATGCTCAAGCTGAGCTGCGAAGGACTCTTGAGCGCGAAGGGAGGATTGAAGAATATGTTCGTTGCAAATCTCGAAGAAAGGCCCTCGAGGAGATCTGCGCTAGGGGTTTGACCCTCTCGAAAGAATTGGCGCTAGCAAGGGCGGACGAGCGTGATGCTCGGTTGCTTTTGACGGATGCCGAAGAAAGCGAGGATGAGGCCGGCAGGCTGTAACCCTCAGGGCATAAATTTTTCCATCTATATGTAGCATTTTCAAAGCATGTTTGTAGCCGGAGGTTGCTTTTTTCGCATATGTGTATGAAGGAAAACCTTGCGGCTGTATTTCTTTTGTATCTTTTTCTGTCTTGATTTTGACCAGGCGAGTTGGTTTTTGCATTGGTAGGAATCCTCAGAGTTGTGATGTGGCCCCGGTGCTCATTAGGCTGGCCGTAGGCTCTTAAGTACTTTCGCTCTTAGGCATATTTAGGTCACCTGTTCTGGTATCAGTCCCCGAGTCGGGCATCGACTCGGGCTTATTTGACCTTCGAATGGCCAAAATTTAGGCGGGCGACAGTGGCTCTTACGCTTTTGGTCGATGCGACCTTTTAGTATATGTGGGCTGGCGACAATGATTCTTACGCCTTGGGCTGGTACGGCCTTTTGTGTGTGTGGCCCTGAGGCACATTATTCTCGCGACAATAGCTCTTACGCTCTTGCTCTTAGGCATATTTGGTTAACTATTTTGGGTCCAATCTCCGAATCGGGTTACCACTCGAGCTCATTTTGACCCTTAAGTTTTCAGATTTTAGGCTGGCGATAGTGTCTTTTACGCTTTTGGTCGATGCGACCTTTTGTGTGTGTGGCCCTGAGGCTCATTAGGCTGGTGAAAATGGCTCTTACACGCTTGGTCAATGCGACCATTGATGCAGGCTTTATTTTTCCCCTCGTCAAGGACTTCTTGGATTAATGTTTGCCTGACCCGTAATCGGTTCGGGAAGAACCTTGATTTCGAGTAACTTGCGGCGATGTTCGAGCACCTCAGGAGGTTTGGCTCCGATGTTTGGGAGCTGACATGGTTGAAGCTCTTTTGCCTGTATCGAGGGTAGCCTGTTTAACCGGTACTTTTCGAAGTAGATTCGAAGTAATGGCCTATGATTTTGTAGCGACGGTCGGGCGTCCCAGAGTCGCGTTAGTTCGGCTGGTGCAGCCGTATGATTGGAGTCACTTGTGTTTGGCCGAAGCCTTTGAGCTAAGTGAGATATTTTCGGCATCTATATCGAGGGTATGCCTTTTAAGGAGTCTTACAAGTTTGATATATGGCCAAAACTTTGGGATCGGGTCTACGCCTTTAGTAAGTTCTTACAAGTTTTACATGCCGTTGAGGTCTTACAGTTTCGTCACTTGGTACAAGTGTGGTTCATGCCTTGCTCGAGGTCTTACAGATATAGTTGCTGCCTTATGTAGGTTTTACGAGACCGAGTCTGCCCGCTCGGGGTCTTATGGCCTCGGATTTTGATAAGTCGATGGAGGTGGCGCTTGACGGCAGTCCCCGAGTCGTCGAGAGTTTCTTGGCTCGGGAGCCATTTTTCGCAAACTTTATATTGCCTCGTCCAAGGCTTACGATTTGGATATCCCGACCTTGAGGTCGTGCATTTTTTTATTTTTGTGACGCCAGTCCCCGAGTATTCGGGGTACTTTCGGCGTTGGAGATGTTTCGCGATTTTCGCGTTGCCTTATTTGAGGGCTTATGATTTTGGAGTCCCGATCCGGAGGTCGTTTAGGTGTTGAATTGATGACGCCAGTCCCCGAGTGTTCGAAATGTTTTCGGCAGAGGAATTGTTTTTGCGAAGGTGCTGAGCCTCTTTTGGTGTGTGAGATGCTTTGATAAAAGATATTCTTCAATTATATGTTACAAGTTTACACGTTTTTGCCGTCGGAGGCCCAGTTATACGGACACGGCTCGTTTGACTGTTTGGCCCGGTACATCATTTTCCTATAGGGACCCCATTTAGTATTCTTGGCTTTACCGAGTGGATGGCCTTCGGGGGGGGGGGGGGGGGTAGGAAGTGGCCCCGTCAATGTTCAAGGTTGATTGCAAAAGAAGCCTCGAACACTTGTTGAGTCTCCCTTAGGTAGCATGCAGATGTTGCCTCGTTAAAAACCTTGCTGGTAAAACCCTTTTTGGGATAAAAACTCGGTCGAAGGAAAAGAGTGCAATGGATGCTTCAAAACCTTAAGGACTTCAAGTTGGGTTAACGCTCTGACTGCTTCGATCGGGCGTCTGCATAAGGGTTAGTCTAAAATATGGAATGAAAAGAGAGATGGTTATACCTTAGTGTGAGATGTTCCGTCAATGTTTCGAGGACCGATATGTCCTAATCATTCGAGATGAGGACGCAGTACAATCCTTTATTTCATTTAATCGGGCTTAATCGAAGGTGTGGCTTGAAAACCCTTTGTCTTTTTTGTGAGCGGAGGTATGGGTGCCGATACCACATCGTGCACCACGAACATTTCCCTTGCCCCATGTTGTTCCCTGTAGATGGTTTTAGTCCTATCTTGTCGAGAATTTCATCATTTGGTGTAGAGTGGACGGTATTGCCCTCATGCAGTGTATCCACTGCCGTCCGAATAAGGTGTTATACCTTATGTCTCCTTCATTGACATGGAATTTGGCATTTTGGGTCGTGCCAGCCACGGTAATTGGGAGGGTGATTTCTCCTTTTATTGTTTCACTAGCCATGTTGAATCCGTTGAGGACTCGAGTGGCGGGCATGATTTTGTCATGCAGTCGGAGCTGCTCTATCACCCTCGACCTGATAATGTTGGTCGGGCTACCTGGATCCACGAGTACATGTTTTATTTGGAAATAATTTACAAGGAAAGAGATTACAAGTGCGTCCTTCTGAGGTTGAGACAAGGTTTCGGTGTCCGCTTCGCCGAATGTGAGGGCATCCTCGGGTATATAACCCTAGGTTCGCTTTTCTCTGGTGATGGATATTTTTGTCCTTCTCATCATGGGTTCTTGCGGGGCATCGATGCCTCCCAAGATCATGTGGATGACATGTTGTGGCTCGTTTGTTTCGTTCTTCTTGGCCGCCTCTCTTTCTTGGAACTGATTTTGGCCCGGTCGCTGAAGAATTCCCGGAGATGACCTTTGTTAAGTAGTCGAGCTACCTCCTTTCGGAGTTGGTGGCAATCCTCGGTCCTGTGGCCATGCGTGTTGTGAATCTCGCACACTAAGTTATGATTCCTTTGTGAAGGATCCGATTGTAAAGGCCTAGGCCACCTGCGTCTCTGATTTTACCGATGGCGAACACGATGTCCGATACATCGATGTTGAAGTTGTATTTTGATAAGTGAGGTGCCCCCGTTGGCCCTGCGTTCCTATCGAATTTGGCTCTGTTGATTAATCCCCGAGGATACTGTCCTCGGTCTATTCGTCAATCATTCCGAGGTGGGTTGCACTTCGGGGCGTTCCTCCTGTCTTCGGTGTATGGCTGATACCTTTCTTTGTTTGGCTTTGGTTCCTTCGTCGGAAGCTTGCTTGGGTATGGTGAGCCCGAGAGGGCTCCCAACTGGTCATCTTCGGCCCTGATCATCGACTGGTATCGATTGTGGACGTCAGACCAGGTCATAGCGGGATATTTGATCAAATTTTTTTTCAATTATTTTGAAGCCACCGAGCTTCGTTCATTCAGGCCTTGAGTGAAAGCATGCACTACCCAGTCGTCAGAGACTGGCAATAGTTCCATCCCTTCCATTTGGACGCGAGATACAAATTCTCGCAGCATCTTGTTCTCCCTTTGCTTGATCTTGAAGACGTCGGATTTCCTTGTTGCCACTTTGATGGCACCGGCATGTGCTTTTATGAAGGAGTCTGCTAGCATGGCAAATGAGTCTATGGAGTTAGGAACTAGGTTGTGATACCACATCATGGCCCCCTTCGAGAATGTTTCCCCGAACTTTTTTAGTAATACAGATTCAATCTCATCGTTCTTTATGTCGTTGCCCTTTACTGCGCAAGTGTAGGCAGTAACGTGTTCATTAGGGCATAAGATCCCATTGTACTTTGGGAGTTCCGGCATTGTGAACTTTTTTGGAATGGGTTTCGGGGCCGCTTCCTCGGGGAACAACCTTTGTATGAACTTCTCTGAATCGACATCTTTCAGGAAAGGGGGGTGCGCCTGGAATTTTGTCGACCCTGGAGTTGTAGGTTTCGACCTTTTTGATGTTGGCTTCTATCATTTTCTCGCCCGATTCGATCCTTTCAGTGAGGTCCTCGAGCATTTTTACGATGATAGTGTTTACCGTGAAAATGGTAACAACAATTAAATTTATAAATGGGATTCTAAAAATACGTGATCCATTCTCGAGCTAGTTTGTGAGGGTGATTAGTGCTAAAACGTGAAGTAAAATGGTAGAGATCGAGTTAATCAATGCAGTAACCGAACCAGTAAGGGGACGTTTCCCAGGCGCAAAGCAAGCCAGTAGGTACCACAGAC